TATTGCATATGGAAAATAACTAATAAGATAAAGTTAATAGTTATTTTTTTTAACATAAATATGTTTTTGGACAGGGTATTTTATTTCTCAACCGATTTTACAAAATAGACGTTTCGTTGTCATGGTTACTTATTAAAAAAGGCATAATTTTGATTAATAGATTTTCCTGGTAGAGGAATGAGGAAAAATATCGAGTAATGTGTCATGGTTTTTTTTCTATTGCACTTACCCAAAAATATATCTATGATTCCTCAATTTTCTTTGAACAGGAAAAATATCTAATAACATGCTACTTTATAATATATTTATTTTATTTTTATTTATTCTTCGAGAACTGAACATGTTAGAGGGCACATAAAAGTTATAAATAATCATTTAATATAATATAACAAATGTTTGGTCATACCTTTAAAGTTCAAATTGTTTTTACATTTAATTTGATAGGTATCTTATAAACAAATCCTTTTTTGACGTTTTTCTAATCACCTAACGGCTAGCACCGATTAGTTTCTTTAAATGTGTACGGTGTACCCATCTACTATATATATAACACATAATATTTTGTTCGGATTTAAGAGAGGATAAATAAAACATAAAATGACATGAGTAGGCACATTCAAATGTGTATATCCGTTTACCAAAACATAGGTTACCTATAGTTTGTCAGGCGATTGGGATAATTATTACAGTGATAATATGTAAATATATTATCTTAATAAAAATAAAGGTTGTCTCATCATCCTATTACATTATTTTGTAGATTAGCAATACCGATCAGGTATCCTGGAAACGTACGTAAAGTCTTATTGTTTGGAAACATTAATATTCCGGTCATTGTTTATTGCCATATATTATAGGTTAAAAATAATACTTTTTATTAAGCGATGTTTTTCTGTAAAACAGCAATCTTCGTTGGATCTTGTGAAACATATAATTAATAATGTCACGACTAATGAAAACATATGAGAGAATCGTTACTCTTTTCCTGAATTTCGAAACAATCGTCGATTACCTACATTTTACTATGTCGCGAGAAAATCTCTAGAAAATACATAGATATAGCTAGAGCTCCAAAGATTTTTGTGCGGTTTTTCATATCGTGTATTTGTGCGAGACTCGAGTCGTATAAAGATTAACTAAACAAATAAATGTGTACAAAAAAATAATTAGGTATCTTTAATGTCATTTAACTGAGCATCATTGCAACAAGCGTTTTAACATCATAAAATAAAACCTACCTACATAATGTAACTAATTCTTTTTTAAATAGTGTAATATGTAAATAATCTTAAACTTAAAACTTAATAAAGAAGGGTAAATATGCACAAAAGAGTTTATAATCACTATAAAATTTGCTTTATTTTTCTATATAATAGTTAAAGACGAATAGTTTATATACACATTATGTTTTTAATATTTCCCGTAAAAATCCATTAAGTACCTATAAACGCCAAATGTAAAATAAAATAAATTTATTTTGTAATTTTTTTTCGGGAATAATTTTATTTATAGGTATAATTTTCATTATAAACTGTATGCCAAATACGAAAATACTTTAATTTTTATACTTTAATAATTTAAAACAAGTTACAACTATAAATCCTCATTTCAACCATGTCCAAAGTTTGTTATTTACACAAATATAAACGTTAACTACCTTATATGTATAATGTATACCCACATAGAATAAACTACAATTATATGTGTAGTAATGTATACAAATTAGTATTATAATATGGTAATACAATTAAAATTAGGCATGTTTAAAATAAAAAAAGATTTTAGTAACAGAACAATATACTTTCTGTAGAATGATTATTACATCAATTTATTTTACTGCTTTTCCTAACCTTGATTATACATAATAATCAGAGCAAACAATATTATAATATATACCTAGATACCTGATACCTTACATATTTTAAATAATATAATTACATAATATACATGTAATTTATTTAATGTTTATTTTTAACTATGATCGATTTTAAATTTCAATGTATAGTTAACGTAAGCTGAGAGGAGCTACTTGCTGGATAATTTATAAGATATAGTCGGATACTGGGTGATAATATTTGGCCACAATTAACTTCACTAGCCTCTTATTATACCATACACGTTAGCACGTTACTCAATACTTGGCATTTAATACGTCTTTATAAATCCATACAATATATTGTATTTACTGTTATAGTTAAACATGAAAAATATTAACTAAGATTTTTTATCAACTACCAATAATTATTGAGATAAGCTTATATTTTTTATCGATTTTATATTTTATTGTTATTTGACTTTGTTTTCGACTTTCAAATAAAAAAAAAAAATTGTACATTTAAATGATGTTTAAATTGTTTTGAGACAATATTTAGACTAATCGATAGGTATGTCATGTCATACCCTCAAAAATATTATTCTCTGTCGTTTTTGTAATGGGTAATTTTACTCTATTATTACTTAAAAACATAAAAAAAAATTATTCTGCTTAAATACGTTTTGTTTATGTCACGTATGGTCCAGAGAGAGAAAACAAATATAGTTCGATGACATCCTCTTAATCGGTTATGGTTCATAGTCGACCTGATATATGTTTCGATTCTCTGTATACAGAAACTCGTATAAGGTACATCCAAAATATTTTGGACAATTTTTTCATGCAATATTTTGGATTACAACCAGGATGGGCTAAACATTAAAACGTCTATGGCGAGGAGGAGGGCTAAGCCGATGCCTATGTGTAAAAAATTATCCATAAGTTCATTTTATATAGTATCGAGTCTATAAAATATGTGTAGAAATCTATACCTAGAGAACTAGTTTGTTAGAGCAACTGCATAATCCTAAATACGACACTTCACGTTCACTCTTTCACGCATATTACATTTTTACTCCATTAATCAAAATATTATCATCGATAATGTCATCTAGGATATCTGGGAGCTCCCAGAACAATTTTATTGAAGTACATATATACAAGTTGCATGTCAAAATATTTTCCAATATTAAAATGAATTAAAAATATAAATATATTTCAAAAACCACAGCTTGCAACATGGACATATACAAGCTAGGTAGGTTCCTTATATATTTCGTAAGTAGCCTTGGTGACTATAGATGTATGTACTATGTTTCCCAATTGTTTTTAATTATTAGCATTTAAAATGACAACGGTTAAAAGATGGGTATTGATCTCGTCGATCTATAAGTGATATACGGGTGGCCGTAAACTCCGGAAAGTAATCTCACGGGCAGTATATATATGTGGAAAAATAAGTATAGGTAGTCTCGGACCGTAGAAATCCGAAATAAAATCCGATGCTATAGGTAGGTACGTAATATAGCTTCGTATATTATAGCTAGGTAATAGTGATAAAAGTGCGAGTTTTAAAGACTAAAATAAAACCTATATTATGGGTGGCGAGGAAGGACGTCTACCACTGAATGGAACGTGACATTAAATTATCATACATAACGCATAATACTGTGATTGGATTTGAATTGAGAACACGGAAAACTCGTTTAAGCTACGAGAATGCGGAAGGAGCAATCGAAAGTTGGTATAACATATTAATGTTATGTTGGTCGTGAATCGGCGGGAAAAAAACAACTCGGAAATTCCGTTTGGTACAAAAAAGTCGCTAAAAATGCAAATAGTGATGCCTGCTATCAGTGGCTATTACCCCCACTGGTCCCACTGCAGCAGGAATATTGTGGCTTCTGTGAAGTCCACGACTGTCCACACGTCGAGTCATGACCTGCGATATTAACATTTAACAATAAGCATAATATTAAATATACCACTGATATCCACCCACACAGTGGGATTTGGGTGTCGTATCCCCCCATGACTTTTTTTTAAACTGGCGAACCATATTTATGTACTTTTTTAGTTTTATAAATATTATTATTTATAGTACCTACTCATATTTTATAATAACATAAAATAAAACCCAAATTTCATATATGGTATAGCTGTAAATAAAATAATATTAGTTATTACTTCGTAATAATCACTAATCACTAGGTATTGCAATATTGCACAAATATATTGAAATAATTCAGTTTAGCTTGATTTGTGGAAATTATTTTCGGAAATCTATATATTTCAATGAGTTAAGTACAATGGCCCAATCAGAATTCGTCGGTCAGACTTAGTTCCAAAGTTATAACCTTTTGAAGTTTGCAATTTTTAGTATTTTAAGTCTACACAGATTATTTCACAAATCTACTCGAAAAAGTACCTACATTTTAAAACTATATTAAATAGTGTGTAATTATTTATTTTAATGTATGCATATACCTATTACCTAGTAGTACTTACTTACATTATACAGATTACAGATCACAATGGTTGGGCTGAGAGGTTGTTATGAAATAAACAACATCTTTTTTTTTTTGGTACCTATGTGGTTTGGTGCGGGTAAATGTTTCAATATAATATTATGCTAGGTAAAAGCATATGAAGGGGTCCCTTGAAAAATGAGACAATTCCATTTTTTAAAACTTTCCGAAAAACCTCCGGAGCTATCTGGTTTTTAACGGGGAAAAAACCAGACAGTTTCCATATTACATTACATTTCCTATACGGGTGGTCAGATCTTTCTTAATTTTATTGAGAACGGCCGAAAAACCATTTTTGACAAAAATCTTCTTATTATTACACCACTTGTACCCAGCCATAATATACTACGGCGACTATAGTTCATTATTGGCGAAAAACACCTTGTCCCCCCACCAGACTACGGATACCGTTGATCGGCGGGCGGCGGAGGGGCACACTCTTCGCTATAAGGACCCGGGGGCGCGACGACGTATCGTCTGCAGCCTCGGCGATTCGGCGGCGCGCGCGACCCGACGCGATGACGACGGCGGAAGGCGTCGTTATTAATGAGACTGACCGAAACACAACAACAACGTGACGACTGCGATAGTTGGTACCTACGCGATATTGTTGTTGCGCCGCCACTATCGCGCGCGGTAGTCTGTGCCAACGTGCGATTATGTACAAACCGGTGTTGGGTGTCGTGTTCGTTCTCGTCGCGTTTTCGGCACATCCAGCGTGGTCGTCCGACGACGACGCCACTGCCGCCACTGCAGCCGTCCAGTCGCCCGCCGAAAATTCCACGACACACGACGTAGTCCGAGGTACGTGCGAAAAAAAAAAATTAAAAAAATTTCGGGGGCGATACCTAGTAAGTGGTACCACGATAATATGTGGGCCTATCGGGAAATATCGTGGAAATCGGTCGAATTATAATAATATAGTATTACTTAGTTGCACCTCGATGAATTTTTGGAATACAATCCGAACGTGTTTTTCGATATTTCAATGTACCTACCCAGTACCCACAGCTATACTTGTTTAAGCCACTAAAGCGCATAGATATAAGTACGTGTATTTGTACAACGCTAGGAGATTTTTCCAAACAAACCTAATTTTTTACAAGAAAATAAGTATAAATAAATATCATCATAATCGGAACTTTTTTTAAAGTGCTTCTGAAGTAGATACTCTCAAATTTGGAAACATAATGTGATTTCCAGATGCTTACTTCATAATATTATAATATTAGGTTTTTACATTCTGGAAACCCATCATGTAGGTATTTTTCTTATTTCACTTTTCAAAGTAGAATATAATGTATATTATAAAACTATATATATTTTGTTATTCATAAGTTTTTTTTTTTTGATTCACAAGCATATACTGCCATATATAGTACATTTAGTTCAAAATACGACCATATAGATGAAGTTATACCTACTACAAATGTATTAGTTGTATATGGTGTATCGCGATTTTCATCGGCAGTTGACACTCGGTATGCTGAATGCATATTTTTATCGGTTGTATACCATCATAGTTGTGTTTCAAAGATAACTAGGTACAAAAAAAAAGGCCCGGGATTTTTGTTTTGCGTTGTATCCTAGTTCCGGCCGGATTATTATATACCATTTTAAGATGTGTTTAATGTCGATCATACCTATAATATTCAGTGAGCGAAACGTTCGATAAAATATTGAATTCGTTCACGTTTACGTTTTCATTTTTTTTTCAAATGAACATGTTCTAGTTCACGTTCTTTGAAAAACTGAATGCATTAATTTGGTCCTTCATTTAAATATCATAATAGAAAAATGTTATTATATAATATTATTAATCAATATTTAAACATAATAATTATTATATTTATTAAATGGCCAATACATTTGAACTTCTTAAATATCGTTGAAATAACTAAAAATTAACGTTCGATTTGAAAAAAAAATAGTGATGTTCACTAAATATGAACACGAATGAGTGAACTGTTCATAAACAACGTTCTTTCCAAACACTGGTAATATTATCGTTACCCCTTTAATAATAAAGATTAATGACAGTTGACGATCATATAATATTAATAAATTTTAAGGCTTATAACATATTATATTAATGTTTTATTGTTTATCATTTTAAGATAATATGTCTATCATATTGTTATATTAAATAGTTGACTGTTTAATAAGTACAGTGTTACAAATTAACTGCAATTTTGAATTTATAAAAATAATATCAAACAAGTTCTTAGCAGTTCCATAATATTTTTCAAGAAAATAGGTCAACAATTTTAATAAAAACTGAAAAACAAGTCATTTTTAACATAAATAGTAAAAAACATAATACCGTGATAAAAAAATTGGGACCGCGATTTGGAAGTATTTTTTACAATGGGGCGCAATACTAGTTGGCCACCCTTTTTTTTTGCGCCTAGGATTTTGTTCTTTTTTCATTCGTTTGTTTGTCCCACGCAACGTAATAAAGTCATATTATTTCAATATTTACATTACAGGTAAAAATGTGTATAAAATAGTTTATAGAGAATAATAATTTACTAAATATTTTTCTAAATTAACTGATTTTGCCGGGAATAGTGTGATTTATTTATTTATTTTCTTTTTTATCACCGTAATCACTCTCGCTGTGATCATGTATTCATAAACCAATTCGTTAATATATTTTTTGTTTACGTTAAAAATTCGATAAAATAATAAAAATGTTTTTTTTTTCGTCGTTTCGTATACCTATACCTATATAAAATATAAATTCTAATTCCGGTGATTTGCAGTTTCGCCGCCCGGATTAGCATTGAGTATTCAAGCTTCCGCAGAACGTTTAATTATCGCACTCTCGTCTTGAACGAATGGCGTAGGTATTCTAATATGCGCAAAAAAGTACAGTGTAATTATATAATACCTATTACCCAACAAGTTATTTGTTTTCATTCATGTTCTTCTATATCTGAGTATACCTGAGTTTTTAATCAAAATTAATTGTTGAATTTGGACCATATTGCAAATACCTGTACGAATATAAGCAATTAATATTTAAATTTTTCAGCTGCAAGTACCTATATGAATCTACACTATACCGCATCATCTTGAAACTTACATAAAAGTATTTAACAAAATATATTTCTTTAGGACATGAGTCATTATAACTATTATGAATTAATATCGTTAAAATAATTATATTGTTTGTAAGTTAACACTCAATTTAGTAAACTACCACAACAACATATTTATCAAAAGCGCACGACATAGTATTAACAAATATAATAATATTAACTATTAGATAGGTAGGTACGCTTGTATAAATTATAAATTTAGAACGGAATTAATACTTACAAACTATAGCTGTGTGTATAAAAACTGTAGTTAAGTATATGTTTATTATTTTATTAGTATATTACTTACACAGACGACAGACTAATTTTAAACTGTTTAGTGATGATATAAGTATGAGTGTAATAATATCAACATATTATATTGTATAATGTATAGTACCTACACGTCATTAATTAAATAGGTAGGAACCTAAATACCGACTACCACTAACCACAGTTACAAATCGTTTTACAACATTTTATGATAAATTTATTTAAAAACAATTTAAAGTATATTAATATCCTATTATGAGTTAGGTACTATTTGAGTTTTACAGTTATAAAACAAATTAGTGTGCTATGAATCATAACTTATCATTGTTAAATTGTTCATTATGTTGCTTATAATATTATAATATTATTGTCTCTACGCCATTTTGTGTATAGGCTTTACAACTGTACTGCCGTACTGGCTAGTGATTACTATAGTGTAGTATAAGTATAATAACTCTTCAACCATAACGCAATTTGGTACCTTAGGTATAATAATATGTAAAAATATCTTCCGTTGTTCCATCTAAGGCATGAGTGAAGTTATTAAAAATGAATAATAATAATTTTTAACGAGCAATGCTTTCTTTTTTGACACATGTTATATGTACCTACAGCGTTCAAACATTTTTGGTGAAACTGACATGTACGAGTAGGTGCTTAATGCACACTGTAATAATACTGTATGTACCTAAACTCAATTTCATTTTATTTCTAAATGTAATATGGGCTATGGAAAAATGGGTGCTGAAGCACTTCCCTCCCTAAGATAATGGTTCAAAGTTAGACCTTCCTCGTTTATGAGTTTACGATTTAATTTATAATTTATATAAAGGCATAATAATACTTAAATCTATAGACTATAACAGAACTTACAGTAATTTAAATATGTATGGTTTATCATAATTAAAACTCGGTGTACTTATTTCATTTATAATAAGTCTATTGTCTATGCATATGAATATTTTGTATCTATCGCCCTTCCCACATTTTTATCATTCCTAGATTTGCCACAGTATTTTATGTATGCGTAGGTGTATGCATCAATTTAGCAAAATGTCTATCGTATGATAGTATTTAATAGCATAGAACGTAATAAAAACCAGTCAGAAAATCTAGTTCCTTTAAATTCGGCCTGGGGCTAAGTATTGATAAAAAAAAAAATTAAAACCTATCGAGATTATTAATTGTATTGACTATTGGCAATTTATACCTCTTGTAGAGCGTCTCTCAATGTTTTTTATAATATCAAATACTAGTAAACGGAGGTGTAGGTACAACAAATAATCGTATTTACGATTGCATTAATTTGCATATTTTATTAACTTTTATCGCTCATTCACGATTCAACCATATTTAAATGGCCAATAAAGAATTGAATTGTAAAAATAAAAAATTGTCTATCTGTTAATAATATTAACATTTATTATCTAGTCGCTATAACCGTATAAAAAAAATAAAAAGATATTTGCAAGACCTCTAAAATATATTTCGAATTTCATTCATGAAAAAGTGTTTTTTAAGTACCTACGTTAATAAGTTCAACGGAAATAATTCTAAATAAAGATGATAGGAAATCGTATAATTACAAATAATAATTAATTAATTAATTATGGATTATTATTTGTACTGCATATTTAGGTTTCTTGGAAAGTATATAGGTACTGTTTGAATACTTCGTTTAAACTAACTATATGTAACGGTATAAATTAAATGGATAAAAAGTTATTGAACAAAACAAAAAATTATTTATTATAATATTCGATATTTGACTATTAAATTGGAAAATGTATGTATATAATTCAATTTCATTCGTTGGAATTTCATTGAAAATTAAAGAGCATATATAATATGAAATAAAAAACCTACATACTTCACGTTTCTCTGTGTACTACCTTCATGGTGACTGGTAAGTATGTATCTATCTAATATGTATGTAGATCTATACTTTTAAAATAAACCATTTGTGATTTAATTATTGTTATTATTAGTGTTGATGGTAAACGATTACCATTAAATTAAACATTTTATGTCAGGCATATTAAAAAAGTATTTTGTACTTTTGTTTCTTGAGGTTAAAAACCTTGGAAATTCTTTCCGGTTTAAAATCTGGAAGTATGTTGTTAATATAATATGAGGGTATGGCTGTATCAGTAATATACTCGTATGTAGTACAAACGAATAATGTATATTGTAAACAAAATACCAGTATACCAGTTTGATATGTAACCGTGGGCAGTGGCTAGTGGTGGTCGATGGATATAGTTACCTACACTGTGATTCATTAAGCATGGCCATTGGTCACCAGTCACCACCATTTTTTTCATTTAAAAATGAATTTATTCAAAATCTGCTTTTTAAGTATACTTAAGGATCATATTTCAAATATTCTTGTAAATCCCATGTCATTTAAGGAAAATCATGGGCAATAGTGACATTAGAAACTTATGAGACTCGCCCTTTTTTCTGTTTTTACTCTCTTTTTGAAAATGTTGATGATCTAAATCAAAATTCGAAAATTAGTTTTTTAGTTATTAAACTTTGTGTACCTTCTACGAATAATACTCCATGATAATAGGGTTAGAACATATTACATGGTGCTACGATTGTTTTTAAATGTTATTATTGTTATTACAGTAATTAGAATTAATTTATCAAAATGTTTAATGTTTGTATAAACATTTTTAAGCCTAGATACGTGCTAGACTAAATATTACGTAATATAGGTACTTTATATTTTATGTGAATCTATAATCAAGAACTACTATTTTTAGTAACTACTAACTACATATAGTTTAATAACTCGGAAACTACACGTTTAATTTCGATTACAACTTCGACTCATCAAAATGTAATTTTCTGAGTAACAATTTGAAGTACAAAATGGTTACTTTCATTTGAAAGAATAAGCTTGTATGCCCATAAGATTCTCTTTAAATGGTGTAAGAAATCTAAGTAGACGTAGATGGTATTTAAGTGTAATTAAAAATTTTAAAAACAGAATTTTAAAATAATTGATTTATTAAAAGAAAAAATGAGGGTGAGCAATAATGAGCATGCCTGAGGAATAATAACTCAGTATATTCACTATTTCAGTATGCAGTATGTACATTGTACACATTATATTTCCAATATAAATCTGGTAATAAGCTGGAGAGAACAAAGTGTTTTTGTCCAATGTCCATCGAAAATTGAAGTAGGTACACTATAGTATAACTCCTAAAACATACTGATACTATTGCCAAGACTTGGAATGGTATGTCCCTGTAGTATAAAACAATATTATTAATAAGATTATAATATTGCAATTTTAAACGTATATAATGCTGTTCACTATCTAGTCACTAGTCAACATTATTTTTAATTAAAATTCAAGTACATGATAAAAAGTATAGAGGTAGTAGTCATTTTGATGGTTCGAGGCTTTCGTATAATAAAATATAATTTGAAATCTCTATTAACTCTTTAGGACTGGAATGGAATACAACGCCGTAGTATATCTTAATAAAATATGTTGGTAAACCGACAAAAATATTTAAAATTTTTGTTAATATAGGGTTTGTTTGTCTGTTGAAAATCCTGTTTTATACATTGAGTCTACAGCAGTACAATGTCATATCATATGAAATATATTATGGTATTATACCCATACATTTACTATGCGTTTGTGATAATCTGATAGATATACAGGATTTAAACTAATAGATTTATTATTAAATTTGTTTTATACTCTTGAATTTGTTTGGCACAAATTAACGATATTTTTATATGTGGTTGTTGAAGTACACAAGGCCACCCGCAGAAATTTTTCTCGGGGGGGGGGGGGGCAGCGAAACAATAATACACTTACCATAAATTCTGTTTTTTGTATCATATCGTAAAAAAAAATTATTATAATATAGTAAGTATATACATATATATATAATATATATATAAATATATAATATTATGTTGTTATTATAAATAAGCCTGTATAATAAAAAATGAAAAAAAATAATTAATAATAAATAATTCATGACTCATTGATCATTATCGTCAAATAAAAATTGAACACGCCGTGGTTCCATGCAGAAAAGCTTAATTGTATCTTCAACAATGTCAGATTGTTGACTTTTTAAAATATCACTATGAATTTACATAAGTGCTAAGCCATTCAAGCGGAGTTGTGTCATACTACTGCGAAGCCAAGTTTTCAATTTTTTAAGTGAGCTATAATATAAATCATTTGTCCCTCTAAAAGGCAACCCATGTTTTCCAAGAAATATAACTGATGAAACAATTGATTTTAATTTATCTTTATTCGATTCAATTGTTTTCCTTACTGAAGAGTTTACCATTTGATATACATCAGTTTTCTTACCATTCATAATAGAAATGAAATCATTGGCTCTCTGAACTGAATGATTATGCTAAGCACTTTTGACATGACATTTAGACTGTTCATGGAAATTTTTGTATTTACTAAATGCCGTTTTTATAAACGCACCATGCACACCACCTTTATCAAGGGGGTATTCAAAAAGCACACAAAATTTACATAAAGCACCTTTTAAAACTGTTGAATAACAAAGCCAATCATATTGCTTAAGCCATGCTAGTAAGAAAGGTCTTTTACCAGAAGAAACATCTGCTTTATAATCATAAGAACTACTAGGCATGCACGGAGATGTAAGCATTTTATATTTTTGCTCATTGTCAACCAAAATGCAAATAAATACAATAAAAATTAGGTATTATCTAAATTAGCGCGGGGGCATGGCCCTCCCCGCCCCCCCCCCTGCGGGCGGCCTTGAAAGTACATTACTTTAAGACCATTATATTTTTCCATTGTATTCTTAGTTCTTACACAGTACCAGAGTACCTAAATATATTATAATATACAATTGTGTAGGGTGATTCACTAAGCATGCTCACTACTTGTTTTATTCAATAATTTTTAAATATACCTACTTATAGACCATATTTCCAAATTCTTGAGATTCTTTGTATTACTTGAGGAGTAATACTTTGTATTACATATTTCTGTTTTTCAAATGAGAACCCCATTTTCTACTGTAAATTAGCAGTGGATAATTTATCTGAAAATATTAAGAATCAAAATTAGAACAGGTAGTTTTTTAGATATTTATTTTTGTGTACTAAGGATTATTAGGTCCATAATAATTGGTTTGGAAGATATGAAGGCTACGGTGATTTTAAAATTTTAGTATTATCTATTATATATCGAAATTCTTCATTTTTATAAACGATTCAAGTATAATAAATACTAGATACAATAATACATAATATACCTACTTTATATTTTTGTAATACCATTTTTAAGGACTATTATTCTTAATACAAACAATTTAATAACTGAAAAACTACTCGTTTTAATTTTGAATTAGGTACCTACATATACATAACGTTTGCAACAAAATTATCCAATAAATAATTTACAGTAAAAAGGGGGTTCTCATTTAAAAACACAGAAGTTTGTACCGCCACAGGAAACTCTTTAAGTGTCTAGTACAATAAATCTCAATAATTTGAAAATATGATCTTTAATTATATTTTAAAATTCCGAAAATTAGATTTTAAACAACTATATTATTGAAGAAGGATAAGAGGGCAAGTATGCTTGGTAAATCACACTATAATATAATATAGTGTGATTTACATATATATATATATATGTAATTTTAATTTTAGTTACTATGTATCTATATTTTGTTTTCATCATTAATTTATAACTTACAAAGTTACATACATAATATCACAATTATTGTAATCGACATTTTTGGATATAGTTATTTTCTTATTTGTGGAAATCTTAACATTAATTAGTCATTATTGCTTAAGGGGGCTCCATACTGTTTTGTCAAAAGTTAAAGCTAATGTAGATTGGACAAATTTAAACATAAATTTCGTTAATTTTAATATTTTTAAGTATATTTACGTATCAATGTATTATAAAATAAATCTTAAGAGGGCAGCGGGGGTCGCAGTAGATAAAAAAAAGAGACGTTTAGACCAAAAAGCCAGAAAAAACTGAAGGATTTGATTTGATACATTTCAATTTTTAAAACTGATTTTCATTGATTATCAAGTTTACTAGGTTTCCGTCGAGGCGATTTTGAATATCTATTTTTACAGCTGTGATATCTATGAATAAAAATATGATATTATTGTATTTATATTATCACATTAATAAGCAATTATTAAACTAACAAGTAACAATAATTGGAATCATAAAAATCGACTAGATAAAAACCTAGTAGACTCTTTGTCAATCATAACCCGTTTTAAAGATTAAAATTTCTCAAACCAAATTCCACCCATTATGTCTGGCTTTTTGGTCTAAAATCCACTTTTTACTGTCGACGGGAGTCCCCTTAATGTTTGCAAGTACTTTTTAAATAAAATATAATTTTTTAAATTAAGTAATTACGAAAACTAAAATAAAATCCACTTCAAATATTTGGATACATCAAACAAATAGTTAAATTAAATTAATTCGTGGTTTTATAAAAATATTAATTAAATATCTTATTATTATTTGTTAATATATTTGTTATTATCATTAATACGAAATAAATGCAATTGGGTAAAACAAAAACCATAATAAACTATTGCATAACTATAACACGTTGTTATGTTGACGTTTACAAAAATGTAATTACACTTTGAAATACATTCATGATCAGGAATGGGTTGAACCTACATGTTTACATCGATGCATTGTATTGGAAAATATATAATCCATAATTTACATAATTCATATATTATTATGTATACATTAATTTTAGATTCTGAGCGGAGCGATGAATGTATTGGTTTTACAATGATGTGTGTTTTTTTTTTTTTATATTTTTATATTTTTATATTTTAGATTCTGAGCGGAGCAAGGAAGCTAGTGGTTTTACAATGGTGTTTATTTTTTTAATTTTTAATTTTTTTTATATCCTGTATATAAAATTTCTACCAGAAGGAGTGCTTTGATTTCAACATATAGTACCTTATCTTTTAGCAAATTGGACCAATATGGTACTTTAGAGAGGTCATTTTTCGATTTTCTCAATAGTTATTTAATGCCACTGGAAAAAGTACTGAAAAATTACGAAAAACCGCTTAAAATGGGATTTTAATTTCTAACAATTTGTTTATCACCGTAGCAACGAATAAAAAAAAGGTGGGCAAGTGGGTGTCGCTCTGCTGTACAGTAGATTACAAGTGGGTCACTGTATAATGGATGGTATTATATTTGAATTCAATGATATAATATCATTGTATAAGAAAAACGATTCTGAGCGGTGACGGTATGTCAGTCTATGTATAAGACATATTATATACATATCTATGGTATTAAACAAAAAATTGACCTATAATAGGTACCTATAATAAATTCCAAACTAATCATATCACAATATCCATTAGATACTTATAACGCGTTATACATCAACAAAAACCGTGATACTATCATAGATATATAATAGTACACTTTAGAAGTTTCAAGTACCCACGAATAATATTATTCAATCACAACAAAATAACTAAAATCGTAATTCTTGGTTTAAATATGAAATTTTGTCTAAATTTGAAATTAAAATGTCTGTAAAAAATAAGTGTGTTTATATATTTTTTAGATTTTTTGGTTACAGTATGAATTATTTAAGAGAATCTTTGTTTTCATTTTCAATTCTTAGTTATAAAAACTGAACATTTTATAATTTTTTAATTCCAACGATTGATAATTTTCGAGATTTTGATAAATTTTGTCAAAATTCCAACTTTAAATGCTTATAAAAAAAAATCGTGCCTATGTATTTTTAATATTTTTCAACTGATATTGTAACAATATATCAGGAGCCTTGTATTAAATTTTTACACTTTTTGGCCCAACAGATAAAACTTTATTGATATTTATAGAAAAAAAAACCTAAAAAAATTGAAAGCTGTAAATGTCCATAAACAGCTCAAAGAGAGTCAAAATATTTTCAAAATTGTATGGTGTATAGAAAATGCTAATTTAAACATTCAGTGAAATTTTCATGTATCTACAGTTGTTCGTTTTTGAATTGCAACAGAATAAAGAAATCGCTACATGAGTAATCGAGTGAATATCCAATGTTGTAAAAGTTTGAATTTCAAACGCTCATAAAAATTTAACTTGACTGTCCGGTAGAGATTTTTTTATTGATAAAGGTAGATAATCTTATAAGGAATCTTGTGTTTCATTTTCAAATCTTAGATTTAAAAAGAAAAATTTTTACGAATTCTTAACTCAAAATAATTTGCTAATTTTCGTGATTTTTCCATATTTTTACAATTTTTGAACTTTAAATGCTTATAAAAAAAAATTGTGACTAAGGATTTTTAATATTTTTCATCTGCCTTTGAAACAACATATTAGGAGCCTTCTATTAAATTTTCAAGCTTTTGCAACCAACAAATAAAATTTTATTGATATTTCTAGAAAAAAAACTAAAAAAAAATGAAAAATGAAAATGTCCCTAAACAGTTCAAAATAAATCAAAATATTTTGAAAATGTTATCGTGTATTGAAAATGCAATTATAAACAACCAGTGAAAATTTCATGTATCTACGGTCATTTGTTTTCACTGGTTGTTTATATTTGCATTTTCTATACACGATAACATTTTCAAAATATTTTGATTTATTTTGAACTGTTTAGGGACATTTTCATTTTCCATTTTTTTTTAGTTTTTTTTTCTAAAAATATCAATAAAATTTTATTTGTTGGTTGCAAAAGCTTGAAAATTTAATAGAAGGCTCCTAATATATTGTTTCAAAGGCAGATGAAAAATATTAAAAATCCTTAGTCACAATTTTTTTTTATAAGCATTTAAAGTTCAAAAATTGTAAAAAATATGGAAAAATCACGAAAATTAGCGAATTATTTTGAGTTAAAAATTCGTAAAAATTTTTCTTTTTTAAATCTAAGATTTGAAAATGTAATACAAGATTACTCATAAGTTTGTCTACCTTTATCAATAAAAAAATCTCTACCGGAATGTCAAATTAAATTTTTATGAGCGTTTGAAATTCAAATTTTTACAACATTGGATGTTCACTCGATTTCTCATGTAGCGATTTCCTTATTTTGTTGTAATTCAAAAACGAATAACTGTAGATACATGAAAACTTCACTGAATGTTTAAATTAGCATTTCCTATACACCATACAATTTTGAAAATATTTTGACTCTTTTTGAGCTGTTTACGGACATTTACAGCTTTCAATTTTTTTTTGTTTTTTTTTCTATAAATATCAATAAAGTTTTATCTGTTGGGCCAAAAAGTGTAAAAATTTAATACAAGGCTCCTGATATATTGTTACAATATCAGTTGAAAAATATTAAAAATACATAGGCACGATTTTTTTTTATAAGCATTTAAAGTTGGAATTTTGACAAAATTTATCAAAATCTCGAAAATTATCAATCATTGTAATTAATAAATTATAAAATGTTCAGTTTTTATAACTAAGGATTGCAAATTCAACACAAAGGTTCTCGTAAATAGTTCATACTGTAACCAAAAATCTAAAAAATATATGAACACAGTTATTTTTTACAGACATTTTAAATTCAAATTTGGACGAAATTACATATTAAAAAACCTAGAATAACTATTTTAGTTATTTTGTTGTGATTGCATAATGATTGGATACTTG